TTCGGCCGCTCTAGGCTGCCTGCTCGGTCGCTTTAACCCCATCAGAGTCATGGCTTTGGCTCAACCACATCAGGCTAGAGAGGTAAGTATCCATCCAGACCTAAAAGGAATTGTCTGAGTTATGGGTCCTCCGATCCCCCCCACCAAGCTATCAGGAACTCGGACCTTTTGGGGATCGGTAGTTCAGAAAAGGAACTTGTCCAAGTTCTGCCAAGTGTCGGCTCCGTCTTTCAAAATTAAAACAACTGTATTGCTTAAGATTCAATGATTGATTGTTTAAATGTCTTGGGGCTACCTTTGAATAATGCACCGGGAGTCCTTTATTCATTGGAGATTAATACGTGAAATGCTACCAAAACCTCATGTGATACAATTTAAACCGGAATTGCTTTTTATTGAATGTTATGACTGAAATTGTAGATAAAGAAATGAGGTACTGTATTTGATAATGCATGTAATTACGGCAGCGAGATTACTACGTACTGTATATGGAAAATATCCGAAGAATGAACAGGTAGGGTCTCTGTAGGAACTGATAGAAAAGATCATCTCAAAAAGGACTTTGAAAATGGGAAGGTTTTATAACTGGATCCAAAATAGGGAATGGAAAATATAGATAAAAGAAATACGAGAAGGTCCAAAGGAATAGAGAGAGTTGTAAAGATAGATGGTCTGGTAAAATTGTTAGATCGTTTATCTATTTGATTTCCCTTTTTAACATAACTAAGTAAGTGGATGTAAGAATACTCTTTTTCTCTGAAATTTTACTCTTTCCCCTACCCTTATTCACTCCTTCCTTATTCCCTTCTACCCACACCCCAACCCTTATCGTTACTGAAAATGCATAAAAACTTTTTAAAAAGAGAATGCATTGGGAGTCCCATAACATGGGCACACCTACACAGCTGGGGATGAAATTGTTGAAGTCAGAAGGCAGGTGAAACCGTTAATACATACAGTCAGTGTGAAAAGAAAGGGACTTTGGAAGTGCTTCCATTAACAAACCACATTTATTTCCTCCCTTCCTTTTCTTCTTCTTTTTTCAAGAATTAAATTAGAATTTGTAACAAAGAAACCTTCAATCATTTTGTGCTTCCACTATGGCTGATTTTTTAGAAAGTTATTTAAATTCTCTTCTGATTGCATTTCTGAAAGTTGCCGGGCGGTCTTATTACTTTAGATCTATTTCATGTCACTGGGATAGCTGATTTCTATCAATTTGGTTTCATTTTTTTTCAATAAAAAGTAACTAAATTATCTATTTCTGCAACTCTTTAAGAAATGGGAAAGTAAAATAACTTGGGTAAAATAACTGTTTATTTTATTCAGTTTGATTCCAGATGTTCAAATTATACACCCCCAAAGAGCCCCCCTCCAAATGGTGTACTAGAGATTTTGGTGTCTCTAGGTGTCTCCAGGCAGCTGGACACACCAATATTTCAGAGAAGCTTCTCCTGACTCTTCTGTATAATCCTTCCAAGTTTGGTGAAGATTGGGTTTTCCCAAGCCAGCTACTAAGGGGCACTTTCCACTCTGTGGATTTATAACTTGGATGTCTGAAACCCAGTCTGGGGGGAACTTTCTTTGGGGACCCCTCCTTGTGGGTGTATACCTCGGACATCCGAGAACCAAACTTCACCACACTTTGCAGGACTTGTAGAGGAAAGTAAGGGGAAGCTTCCCTGTGAATTTGGTGTCTCTAGGTGCTGGGGGGGGCATGTCATAGGGTTTTAAAATAAAAACACAAATTGACAAATTGATTCATCAATTCATCTGAAAAATATTGTTAACTCGTAATTCATCTACCTCGATGAATCACGAATCAAATCAAATCACAATTTTTCTGATTCATGCCTATCTCTAGTAATGAGCTTAAGAGTTAACATGCACACCTTGCATTTCCTTGCTGCAATGACTGTTCCATTTCAGCTCCACACTGGGCTAATCTACTGACTGCCAGATCATTATCACTTCTACCTATTTCTCTGCACTGTAGCTGGGTTTAATATGGCAAGTCATTGTAACCTGGGGAATTTTTTTTGTTCCAATATATTATACAGTGGTGCCTCGCTTAACGACGATAATCTGTTCCAGGAAAATCGCCGTTAAGCGAAAACATCGTAAAGCAAAAATAAAAACCCCATTGAAACGCATTGAAACCCGTTCAATGCGTTCGAATGGGGTAAACACTCATCGTCCAGCGAAGATCCTCCATACGGCAGCCATTTTCGCTACCTGTATAGTGAGAAATCTGTACCTAAACACAGCGGGGAGCCATTTTAATTACCTGGTGGCCATTTTGAAACCGCTGATCAGCTGTTTAAAAAACATCGTTGTGCAAAGAATCGGTTCCCGTAGCAGGGAACCGATCATCGCAAAGTGAAATTCCCCCATTTAGACCATCGTTTTGCGATCGTAATTGTGGATTTGTCGTAATGCGGGGCAATCGTAAAGTGAGGCACCACTGTATTATGAACTGCTGGATAGCTCAGTGGTTTAGGTGTCAGGCTGTGGAACCAGAGGTTGGGAGTTTAACATAAGGCCCCTTCCAGCTCTGTTGTTTTAAGATTTAATGGCAAAATCAATAATTTGCTGGGGGCATTATTTCTTGTCCCAACTACTTTTTAATTTGAAAATACAGTGGTGCCCTGCATAGTGTGTACTTTTGAAATTTAACTTATTTATTTGATCAGGGAGGGTAACATCTGATTAATATACAGTAGGTAAATCACAGGTTGCTAATCACTTGAAACTGAATCAGTACAGTGGTGCCTCGCATAACGAGCGCCTCGTATAGTGACGAATCCGCATAGCTATCCCTTTTCCGGGATCGCTAATGCGGAGGCATTGCGTCGGCCCCAGTGGGCGAAACTCGCATAGCAAAGATCGGTAAGCGTTTCACTTATCGATCTTCGCTTTGCGACGCCCGAAAAACAGCTGTTCGGCAGCTCCAAAATGGCCGCTGGATTATGCGAAATGGCCCCCCGCAGCGTTTTCGCGACCTCGGTAAGCAAGGGGAGGGCGCGAAAACATTGACAGGGGGCCATTTTGGGTCATCCGGCAGCCATTTTGGAGCCGCCGAACAGCTGTTCGGCGGCTCCAAAATGGCCGCTGGACGCCCCAATCGTCGCAAAGCGAGGGCGGCGATTGGGGCAGCTCCGTATAGCGATCCCCCAAAAGGGATCGCTATACGGATTCTTCGTTATACGGTGCGCTCGTTAAGCGAGGCACCACTGTAATCTCTAAAAACAAGACCTTGTTTACAACTTGTTCCCATCTTATTGCGTGTGCTTCTTCACAGGTCTGCCGCTTTTTAAATTATTGCTACGAATCTATTGCGTATGCATGCAAAAACACGAGAAGAGCATCAGGAGAGTAAAGTGTCCCTGGACCACTGGGGAGAGTCAGGTAATGAATAATAAAAGCACAGACATAGGGTGGAGTTAAACATAAAACGTTTATCCATAATTCATCACATAGGCCACAATGTCGGGCCACTTATGCAACGGGGGAATCTATTAAGAAGAGAAAATTCTGAGTCAGTTGATAAAATGCAGCAAAATGGGGAATTAAACAGAGCCTTGTTTAATTGATATATCTGGGGTATAGCAGCATCAGGAGGAAAACCAGCGCTCGGAAGAGTTGCTTTTTGGCTAACATCTTTCAGAATCACAAGCCAGCATAATTTCTTGTCATGTTTGCGTGGGGATTCTGAGAGCTGTCTTTCCAAAAAGTTACATTTCTGAGCTCTGGGAACAGCTACGAACAATGCAACACGTGACAAAACACCAGAAGTGACCTTCACCTCATAAGGAGACACCAGAACGGGAAGTTATAAGCAGAACACCCCAAGTGCCGGCAAAGTAAAAAAAAACTAAGAGCTGTGAAATCAGGCTTGTGATTTCGTAAGAACACCCAAGTTGTAACTACACAGAAACTATTAGGAGAAGATCCACCTATGAAGAACTCTTAACAAAAATAATTATTTCACCATAGCCAGATCTGGAATATGCTTTGAATGCCAAAAATGTACAATAAGTGTGGTTTCAATGTTATTGACTAGTAGCTAGGGGCCGTCTGCAGTAGGCCTCCATTCACCGAAGCATAAATAAATGTAAGAAAAATATGTTCCATATTTTACAGACTCAAAACATTATAAAAAGGGACAGTACAGATGAGTTCCATTGATTTTACAAATTTGCAAGCCAGTTCCCATCACTTCATTTTTATGAAAATTATGAGTTACAGTGGTGCCTCGTTTGACGAGGATAATCCATTCCAGCGAAATCACTGTAGAGCAAAATCCTCGTCAAGCGAAATCAAAAAGCCCATTGAAATGCATTGAAAACCGGTTCAATGCATTCCAATGGGTGAAATACCTCAGCGTCCAGTGAAGAGCCTCCATAGGGTGGCCATTTTCCGATGCCTATGCAGCAAAAAATCCGTCCTAAAGCACAGCAGGGAGCCATTTTACACAGCGGGCGGCCATTCTGAAACCCGACGATCAGCTGTTTTGATAGCCGTAATGCGAAGAATCGGTTCCCGAAGCAGGGAACCAATCGTTGGGAAGCAAATTTTGCCCATTAAAACATTGTTTTGCAATCACAAAAGCGATTGCAAAAACTTCATTGTCAAGTGGATTCGTCATTTAGCGAGGTAATCGTTAAGCGAGGCACCACTGTACGTTCTTCTGCATTTACAAAGCTGCTTTGTATTGCATGATGTTTTCAAAAATTTTTTTTTAATCAGATAATTCTGGTCTCAGTATTACTCCTACACAATATTCTAGCCCACGTTCTGTCTTCAAATTTACTCTAATTTAGGGTGTCATTTTATTAGGGGGAAATTTGAATAAGCTCTGTTTACTGCCGATCTTACAGCAGGCATAAAATGGAAAATGTACAAATATATTTTTAGACAAAACCTTGAACAAAGCCATAATTTGTCACAAACTGTTATCCAAAACATTCCTCCAGAGCCAGGCCCGATCCTGCTTGCACCAGCGAGGATGTTAGAGAACGAATGCACAGACATTTTGGTAACACTTCCGCAATTACGTTTTACATGCCGTACTTCATGGAAAGTAAGGATCCTTAGGCTTTGTTGACAGTTTTATATTTCTGAAACTACACATTGTCCCAAAAAATGTCACAAGTTCTACAGTCTACAAGGCAGGAGAAGCTCTGTTCTGTCTCAGGAGAACCAGCTGTTCAAAGACTTCGTCGGAGAGGGAGTGCCTCTTCGCAGTCATGAGGTTGCCGTCTGTACTGAACAAGCGTTCGGCCGCGGCACTAGAAGGCATTCCTGTGTTATACTTTAGGAAACTCTGCTGGATGATTGGGAAGGCAAGGAGAGATGACACTTCCCTGCTGGGAGTAATCAGGTACTTGGAGAGCTCCTCCTCGGCAGGATCCACGGCAGAGGTCCTTCTCTGTGGCTTAATGTCGAAAAAGTCAAGCAAAATGTCGTCGCCTTCCTCGTCTTTTTCCGAAGAGCTGTCGCTCGTTTCGCTGACGGGGCCCTTCAGTTCAGCGTTCAACAAGGCTTCCATTGCAAACCTGCGAGAAAAGGAGCATCATGACTTGCGTTAGGAACGAAGGATGGGGATTTTTAGACTTCCAGGTGTCCCAGCCCTACAAGTCAGCTAGAATCCCCCCAGGCAGACTCTTGTTAGGATATATGATTATGCAACTCAGCAGTATGTGTATAAGATTGAGTGACGTTTGCATAAGAGAATAAGTTTAGCCAATCAGATTCTGTTTAGAGTCAGCCAATAGGTGCTTAGAGGGTTAACTGTCAGCTAGAAGAGGGAGTGACCATTAGGATGATGGCTGGTACGTGTCTGTTGATATGTAGCTCTTCTGTTAGGACTTGTCTCCTGCTAGTTGTCTGCTGTGACTACATCTGACAAGAATATGGTATGAAAGGGTTATAAGTCTGTCAAGCACAAACCAGAATCTGTATCAAAACCAAAATGTTCAACTACTCTTAGTTTATTTATCGACATATTTTTCAGTAAATGTTCTTAAAGTAAACAGCTATTCTTTCAGCTGCTGGCACACACATACATTTATCATGATTCATGATCTGTGTTTTTTTAAATATATAGTCACACTTGACACGCTGTGTATAAATTCTCTGACATGTAAACAAATTTTGGGACCAGGGAAGGAGAAAGAAGAACGGTTTTCCTATCATCATCTGCTTTGCTACACTTGCTTTGGGCTGGGAAGCAGAATAGAGCACCTTGTGAGTTGTAGCGCTCGCCGAGAATCACCATACTGCTCCATGGGAAGAATAGTTTCACTGCATTCTAAAGAGGGAGCCTCCCAATAAGCGACCCTTCCCATCGAACACTGAGGCCACTCCAGCATGCAGAGCATTTGAGAGGGTGTCCCCTTCTCACCTTCCCATTCAAAGCAAGTGTAGCAAAGCAGATGACGGTGACAGGAAGACCTTTTTTTACCTTTCTTCCCTTCCTTCTCCCAAGCCCAGAAGTCTGCCGGGGGGCATTCTGGGTGACATCCGGGGCTGGGAGTCGTGGAATTATGAAAATCCTGTCCTTGTCTGGGAACTGAAATAAATATTTTATTTAATATATTTTACCCTGCCTTTCTCCTTAAAAAGGACCCAAGGCGGCTCTTACTTCATTTAAAAAGCAGTTTTTAAAAGCTAAAAATGGTAAGTCTACAAATATTTTAAAAAGATGGCTGTTGTGGGTTATTCGGGCTCTTTGGCCGTGTTCTGAAGGTTGTTCTTCCTGACGTTTCGCCAGTCTCTGTGGCCGGCATCTTCAGAGGACAGGAGCCAGAACTCTGTCTGTGAGTTATAGCAACCTGCGTATGATGCCTTTAGGAAATTTGGATGGAAAGGACTTTGGGGTTGAATGTCAATCACACAAGAGCAGCCAGTTGTTCCTTCTCTACTTCAGGTTCCTTTTCATGCCTTTTTATTCAATTAAGCTTCAGTCAGGATTAGATTCTGTTAGATTCTGCATGGTGTTAAGAGTTTAACAGTAGTAGAGTCAGCAGTTACAGAGTCTGAGTGAAGTGTTTATGTAACTAGCCAGTTAATCAAATAATGAAGTTAACCAGTTAAGATCTCAAACAATGTAACAAATAGATTTGTTTTCTATTCTGATATATATGCTAAGGTTAAAAAAAGAGCAGGAAAGGTTTTTTTTCCTGTTCTTATCTTGGATTTCTGTTCTCAAGTAGAAGCAAAATTTAGCAAATGGAGCTGTTCTTAAGTTGGATTGTTCTTAAGTAGGGACGTTCTTAAGTAGAGACCCCACTGTAGCCAGTTAATCAAATAATGAAGTTAACCAGTTAAGATCTCAAACAATGTAACAAATAGATTTGTTTTCTATTCTGATATATATGAAGATTTGTGAGTAAAAGAGAAACATTTTCTTATTCTTTCTCAAGACCACCATTTTTGACTGAATCGATTGAGACAATATTGCCAGTTCAGATAGAACTGACTAACCAATAAGGAGTGGTATATTTAAGGGAGAATTCTAATTAAAATAATCTGCTCTTTATGTCCCTGTCTGGATTTTTTCCTCCACTGTGTAGCTGGAAGATTTAAGCCAGCAATTTCCACATTCTACCAATAAAGGATGCTGAATTTGTTGGTGGAAGAAAATGAGCTTGCCTGTTGACATTTGCTCTGGAAGGGCATGTTATCTGTCCACCCAGAGCATGTTTCCTGCCTTCTGCTGCTCCTTTGCAAACAGAAGGAAACATCAACTCAACATAGAAAGAGTATGGCCATCACAAGTTCAGCTTCAGGACTTCCCTCCCACCCATCCATCTCTTTCCCTTCATATAATGATCTTGGATGACCCAAGCTTAACCAATGAAACCGTAAAGGAGTCTCGTGGTACAGAGGTTAAACTGCAGTACTGCAGCCAAAACTCTGCTCACAATCTAGGTTAAATCCTTGGTAGCCAGCTTGAGGTTCACTCAGCCTTCCATCCTTTTGAGGTTGATAAATTGAGTACCCAGCTTGCTGGAGGAGGGGCAGTGTGTAGCCTGCATAATTAAATTATAAACCACCCAGATAGTGTTTTAAGTGCTATGTGGTAGTATATAAGTGTGGGGGTGCCATTCCCAAAGTTGCTAAGCTGTTGGCTTAATCTACAGTAGAGGGCAAACCCTCCTGGATGACGTCACAGCTGCTTCTGAGGCCATGGCTGCCCGCCATTCTTCTTCTTTCTCATAGGTGCTAGAGAGTGTGCATAGAGCCTTTCCTTTGGCCAATTATAATGGCACGATGTAACCATTGTCCTATCTGAACTTTGTAACCTATCTGTATACAGTGGTGCCTCGCTTGACGACGTTAATTCGTTGTAGTGAAACCGCTGTAGAGCGAAAATGGCGTCAAACAAAATAAAAAAAACCACTGAAACACATTGAAAACCATTCAATGCGTTCCAATGGGCTGAATACCTGGTCGTCCAGCGAAGATCCTCTATACGGCGACCATTTTCTGGTGCCTGTTAAGCGAAAAAGCCTTCCTAAAAACAGCAGGGGACCATTTTCTTCAGCCGGCGGCCATTTTGAAACCCGACAACCAGCTGTTAGCTGATCATCGTGTTAGCTGATCGTCGTAAAGCGAAAATCGCTTCCCGAAGCAGGGAACCATTCATCGCAAAGCTGAAAAATCCCATTTAAACCACCGTTTTGCGATCACAAAAACTTAATCGTACAGCGATTTCCTCGTTAAGCGAGGCAATTGTTAAGCGAGGCACCACTGTACTAGCCACTATCTGTGAGCTTGTAAATAAAAAATAAAAGCACAGTCCTCCCGGGGGCAGTATACATATAGGTTACAGAGTTCAGATAGGACAGTGGTTACATTGTGCTATTATAATTGGCCAAAGGAAAGGCTCTATGCAAGCTCTCTAGCACCTTGGGAATGGCACCCCTCCATATTTTGCCCTCTACTGTAGATTAAGCCAACAGTTTAGCAGCCTTGGGAATGGCACCCCTCCATACAAGCAGGGCACTTTGCTTTTCTTTTTCTTAAGTGCTAGACACACTTAGCTACAGCTCTGCTGCAAGGAAGAGTACTGTTGGAGGCCTTGAGGAGTGGGAAAGTATTTTTTTTTTTGCTTAAAATATTTTTAATGCCTTGCGGAGGGGACTGTAGATTAAGCCAACAGTTTAGCAGCCTTGGGAATGGCACCCCTCCATACAAGCAGGGCACTTTGCTTTTCTTTTTCTTAAGTGCTAGACACACTTAGCTACAGCTCTGCTGCAAGGAAGAGTACTGTTGGAGGCCTTGAGGAGTGGGAAAGTATTTTTTTTTTTGCTTAAAATATTTTTAATGCCTTGCGGAGGGGTGGAATCTAAATATTTTCTGTGGCATCTCTAGAGGCACAAAACCCAAATTGAAGTCAATCTGTAGGCCATATTTCACCCTCCTTCAAGTTAAATAAACTCCTATCGCATATGCACGGACCATGGCTCGGAAGGAATGGAAAACTGGCTTGCGTGCCTCCATGGCCGCTTTGCTTTGATTCCCCCCCCCCATAAGGGGACCCTCGTACCCCTTACCTGTTTGTCTGGGCGGTCTTGGACGATTCCAGCCAGTCCAGCTTGAACCGGGGATGTAAGCAGGCTGCCAGAAGCAGCTTCTTGTCCTCCCAGACGGGTGCAAACCGCTTCCGGAGGGCTTCGCGGAGACCCCTCAGAAGCGGAAGGCAGTACGCGTACGGGACTGGCTTGTTTTCCAGCCCCTGAAACTTGCGATCCAGATTGTACACCGTCGGGAGCAGGTACCCCATGAACATGTTGTTCTCCCTCTGCAGGATGTCTAAAGACAAGGACAGGGGCCCCATGATCTCCGTGTATTCTTGCAGCACCACACGCTCGTCAGCCGTGAAGCTGACCAAAGAGCAGCGCTCCATGATGGCGTCCATCTTCAGAGGTGCCGTCGAGAGGAGCTTGTTAAGCTGCGTGAGGGCTTCGAAGAGGGAACTCCACCTGGATTTGTTTGGCGTCTTCAAATAGGCCCCGCACTGGTCATAGATGTACTCCGCCATCTCGGCCGATTGTTTCTGCTTCGACCAGAGTTTGCTGCACTTTCTCATCAAGGAGTGGAAGTGTTTCCTGAAAAGACCTAGCGGGCTCGTTTTGCAAGAGTCAGAAATCATGGCTTCTACATCACGGGTTGCTATGAGGTTGAGGGTGTAGCTGGCGCACCGCTGGTGTGGTGGCAAGCCCAAATCTGCTAAGTCTACATTGTCTTCTCCCTTTACCTTGTGCCCAGTGTCCAAGATCTCCGAGATAGGAACAAATTCCACCTGAGACACCTCATGGTCATCGTCGTCATCGTCATCATCTGCACAGGAGCCTGAAGCATCCCTCAGTTCTTCGGCCTTGAAAGCTCGGAACGCTTTCACGAAGCGGGAACCGTTGTCCGTGGTGGTGCAGACCACCTTGTTATGTATCCCGTACTGCAAGTGGACATCCCGAAGCGCTTTTGCGAGGACACTGTACGTGAGGCCCCCTTTCAAGCGTTTGCAAGCCAAGGCCCCAAACTCCCGCTTCAGAGTCGTCGGACTGATCCAGTGGGCCGTCACCCCTAAGAAGCTCTTCCTGCCCTCCGTCCAGCAATCTGCCGTGGTGGCTACATACTCCACGGCACCCATCTGGTTGGCGAGGGCTTCCCTCATGACCGTGGCTCTCTTCTCGATTCTCTCCCTGAGAGTCTTGGGGCACATGATTTTGAGGTCACTCGGGAGACCGAGGCGAACCAGGGCAATGAACGTGGGCTGGTCCACCGTCTGAAGAGGCACCATCTCCTCCACAATGTAATCCATGAGGGTCCTGTCAAGCATTTTCTGGGTGACAGTCTCCTGGATGGATCTCCTGCTCCGCAAGGCAGGGGGGCCCTCCTCCTCCTCGTCTTCCGGGGAGTCTTCTGAATAGATCGATCTCCTTCCTTGTTTTCCAGGGATGAGGTCAAGAATGGCTCTTAGCTTCTCAGGATGCGCCTTCTGTGGAGGAAGAGGAAAAGGCGAAGGAGTAGAAAACCCCACAAGAAAGCCGAAGAAGCCCTTCACAGTTTTAAATGCAGTGCATCATGGTGGGAATGGCGTAGGCCACACGCAGCCTGCCGAGCCCCTCAGATACCCTTCAGTAAAATGATAAATTGTGCCTACCTTTGCCTATCCAGTGAATCTTTTAAAGGCTATTTCACCAGCCTCTTTCGCCTGTTTAGGCTTGAAAACAGGCAAATGACAGGAAGTGAACTTTGGAAATATTTGAAAAGGTGTGTTTGGTGGGGACACAGGAGAGGGCCTTCTCTGTGGCTGCTCCCAGACTCTGGAACTCCCTCCCACTGGAGGCCAGCCTGGCCCCATCTTTGCTGTCCTTCTCTAAGCAGGCAAAAACCTTTCTCTTCAGGCAGGCTTTCCTTTCAATAACTTGTGGACCAAGGGGAATTTTGAAAAGAAGCATTTTATTCTGTGTTTTGCTTGTGTTTTTAATATTGTTCTGATGATGAGTTTTAACATGATTCTTGTTTAATGCTTTTAAAATATTGTATAATTTATTATTCGGTTTTTAATTTGGTTTCTTTTAATACTGCAAGCCGCCTTGGATCCTTTAGGACAAAGATAGCATATAAATATTTTAAATAAATAAATAAATAAATATATAGCAGTGATGGCGAAAACAGGCTGGATGTAGCCTCCAACCCCCACCCCCCAGTGACAGCCAAAACCCACAATACACCTAACTACACCAGATAGCCACCAGACACTAGCTAGAATCCTGTTGCGTACTTATCCTTGCCTAACTTCACTGGTGTCACTTTCAGCAGCAAAGGGCCACAAGTTAAAAAGGCTATAGACATTTCCTATCTGACTTTGGTATCCTGGTGTGATGGACAGATAAAACGTCACTCCTGTCAGTCATGGTGGAGCTCTGGTGTGGGAGCCTATGAGAGGGCAGGAGGGGTGGAACCAACAGTACTGGGAGACGACAGTTAAGTCAGTTGGGCAATTGGGGAGTTAGAAGAGACAGAGATATAGAGAGAGACTGAAAGAGTTAAGAGGGATAGTTAGGGAAGGATTGAAAACAAGAACTTGGAAAGTTGGTGTGTTTGATAACTGAAGAAGTAAAAGTAATAAGAATGTAATAAACAGTTTGAATGTTGTAATACCATGATTAAAGTGAATCTTAATAAGTAAGCATATCTGAAATCCAAAGCACGTTTAATGAATAAATACTACAAGAACATCCATGATTTTCCTTATATGTTTCACCTTCAAATCCTTAAATAAATATTGTTATAATTGACAGCATTGATTCAGTATTCATCATTGGTACAGTGAGGAGAATATCCTCTGGTGGCAGCGAAAAAAGAAAGAAAAGGAAAAGTCGTGCCCAAAGGCGAACCTGGGTATGAGGGAAAACAAACAGGGGAGCTGGGGTGTGCGACACCTGGGTACTGTAATTCTTCACCAAAGGCGAACCTGGGTATGAGGGAAAACGAACAGGGGAGCTGGGGTGTGTGACACCTGGGTACTGTAATTCTTCGTTCTCAGCTAAATCACGTGCGAAACCAGAACGGCCCGTGCGACCCGCGCTCACCTTTAAATGCTGCTTCACGTTGGACGCAGAGGTAATTCCTGAGCTCAGTTTCTTCACCAAGGGCAGGCAATAATTGCATTGCACAATCAGGTTCTTCCCCTTCTGGCTCACGTACGTCACGGCGTCCTCGAAACCTAGCCAAGGCACTCGCTGTCGGGTGGCGGCTGCCGCTGCGTTGGGTGGCGGCTGCTCAGCCTCGTCCTCCTGGCCGAAGTCTTCCTCATGGTGGGATGGCTCCTGCTCGTCGGCCATGTCAGTCTCGCTCGTTTCCTCGGCAACCTCGGTCTTGACTATGGCGGCCGCAGCCACTTCGGCCCCGGCCTCCCCCGCAGCTGCCTCAGCTTCAGCCGCTGTAGCCACCACAGTGGCCTGAGTTGCGGCAGCTTCAGCAGCAGCTGCCCTGCCTACCGGAAGAGAGAGGTTTCCGTTATTTCAGCCATTTTTATAATAATAAAGAAAAATGCGTGACTCAGGAGCTGCTGGATAGCTCAATGGTCTAAGTTTTTGGGAGTTTGATTTCACGCTACGCTTCCTTGACGGGCTGGACTTGATGATCCATAGCATCCCTTCCAGCAATTTACAGATTATTATTATCAAAGAAAGATTATCATCCTGTGAAAAGGAACAAAGATTCCCAAGGCCTTGGTGCCTGGTATTAAGATGACACCAATGGTAGTAGCTTTGTGGTGGTATAAAAATGTTTACCTATGTATTTACATATTGTTGCTGACTTATGCTGACCCTAAGAGGGCCTTCAAATTAAGCGAGGTATTTAAGGAGTGGTTTGGCCAGCTCTGTCACCCCTATGAATTTCCATGGCTGAGCAGGGATTTGAACCCAGACCTTCAGAGTCCTTGTTCGTCATTCTCTCCATTGTGGCTATGTCTATTCATATCTTAGTTTAAATTTACAGATTTCTTTTTTTTCTTTCCCACTCTGCTCTTGTTTTATTTTAGGAAGTAAAGTCTGTGAGAGGATCAGCCAACGGGAGAGCGATTAGCCTTCCATCAGCCAGTGAGTAGCAAGGCTCAGCGAGGACTAGAAACTGGATTTCCTTTGTCCCACTCTAGCACTCTTAGGACGTCTACTTAAGGTATGCAAATAGAGATGGGCACGAACGGCCGGTTCGTTTATCAGCCGAACAAGTGTTCGGCATTTCAAAGCCCTGCCTCTTCCGGGTGCCATCTCTGAGTGGGTTCCCACTGGAGAAGGCAGGGCTTTGAAGCCCCGAACAACTGTTCGGCCGATGAACGAATTCGCGCGAACCGATGAACTGGCGGTTCATGACCATCTCTGTGTGGAAATCATCCAAAAGAGGGCTTTACATCCTCTAAAATTTGGGGTGGCTCTTAGGTGGAACTTGGCCTCAAAGCCTTTCAGTTTAGGCCATTTCTCCCAGTTGAGGCGTTTGTAAAGTCCCTTTAAGGTGGCTAGAAGTCCCAGAATGGAGAATTGTGGTATTTGTAGTCCAGAAAATCCCATTCCTAGATAGTAGACTCCTTCGGCTCTAGAGTGGGACAAAGGAAATCCAGTTTCTAGTCCTCGCTGAGCCTCGCTACTCACTTGCGGATGGAAGGCTAATCGCTCTCCCGTTGCCTGACCCTAACCCTCACAGACAGGTGCAGTGTAGGATGAAGGGATGGGTGTTTGAGAGGAAGAAGAACTTGGCAGATGCTAGAAAGGAAATGGGCTGCTCACTTCTCGTCTCCATCGTGAGTTTCTGTTTCTTCCTTGGTTCTTCAGCATGAGAAGCTTCCTCTTCAGGTTCTCTCTTGATCTCCTTTGGTCTCTCAGCACTCTCCTCGGGGTCTTGTTGCTCCCTCTTGTGTTCACCTACAGATCAAGAGAACACAAGGCAGTGCAGGATAAGACACCGCAGAAGCAACAGGCCACGAGATGGTACTCCTCCATTGAGTTACTCATTTTATTAAACCTGTAATAATAATAATAAATAATCATGTGCTGTTAAGTTCTGATTTATGGTGCTCCTTTTCATGGTTTTCTGGGTAAAGAGTATTCAGAAGTGGTTTAACCCTTCTCTTCTTCTGGGTAGGTGTCCTGGGACTGTGCAGCTTGACCAAAGCCACACATAACCCTTATATTACAAAAAGAGTTTATTTTGTGTTAGGTTACAGTTGTACATTAACATCATTCTGCTATTTTTATTAGGGAAAAGTGAATTATAAGGAATATATAACTGAACAATGAATAATTTCTAACATGTAACTTCCACGCCCCGGGAATCAACCATCAAGAGCAGCCCTCGGCTTGTGGTCCTTGTACACTCAAAAATAACTCCTCCATCCCTGTCCCACTCGGTGTTCCATTTTGGCAACCTAATTTAAAAAGAGATCAGAATTGTCAGTTTTAATAACTGGAAGCAGGCAGCCTTTTTTTTATCAATGGCAATCCACCCAGAGGTCTCACTAATTCGTCCTCTGCCCATCTCTGCCAGGTAAGGCAGAAACCTCAATACAACGTGATTTTGACAAGAAGGAAAACTGAACCCAAATCAGCAAACGGAATACGCAGAGAGGTAAATGTTAAGTTCTGCATTTAGGCAGGGAAAAAAATCAGATGCAGTAATAAAGGTGAGGTGACAAACTCTCGAAAACATGTTGTGGGGCTTGGAGGGAAGCAATGTATCCAAGAGACTAAGGACAATTGCTTAATTCCCATTGTGAGCCCCAAATAAAGTAGATTTAGGTCAGTGTTGACTTAACAGGTACCCATTTGCCAAAGTCTGATAGTAAGTAGGTCCATTGAATCAGAGGATATGTGATCTATAAGTTCCAATGGGCCTACTCTAGTGGTGACAGACTTGCTACTGGATTTCAGCTGGCTCAGTGGATCTAACTGGGATTAACCATTGGATTTAGGCTGCTGCCTGTAAAAGTGCAGACTGGAGCTGAGATTTTGACATGAAGTTAACATATAGGCTAGAGATGGGCACAAATCATACTTCAGTGTTTCAGTGTGGTCCAGTGGATCGGGCCCACAGGTGTCGCGTGGGCGCCCCGGATTCTGTGCCCTGCCTCCTCTTGGACACCCTCTCAGTGGAGGACATGGGACAGGGAAGCCCGAGGCATCGCCTCTGAGGAGGCGCATATGGGAGGACGCGGGGCAGGGAGTCCAGAATACCTGCACAACACCTGTGGTCCCAATCCACCAAACTGCACCAAAGTACCGAACCATAGTTCATGCCCATCCCTACACATGGCTATTCACCAGAGCCTTTTGGGGTTTAAGGATCTTGGCATGAATAGGTTGTGGGGCCTTTTGTCAATGCACATGTTTTAATTAACGCACAAAGTTTCATTAGCTTGAAATAGCTTACTTTGTGTTTTCAATTGTTTAGATAGTTCTGTATGTTGAAAACTGTTTACAAACATTTTAAGTGTCTGGTTTTATCCCGCCCTGCAAATTCATGATATAAGGTGGCATATAAATAGTTTAAATAAATATTTAAAATTTTGAACAAGTGGGTATAGTATTTTTAAAATTAACAAAGAGTTCCTTTTTTTTTAGAATAATTGGTCAAACTCCTGTTGCCAGGTTATGTTTGTGTAAAACTGTCTAAATCTTGGAACGATGGAATGATGGTTAAATTCCTAGGAATATGCCCTGTAGGTGCTTATCTAGAAGCACAATCAAAACCTCATTAATTTACTGCCAATATTTAATGCAGTTTCTCCTGTGCAAGCATAAGTGAGCTATAGCAGTGGTCCTCAACCTTTTCAGAATTGCGGACCGGTTTAGCGGGGGGGGGC